GCCTCGTACCCCTCCCTGGCAAGTGTGGCTGCTGGGGTACCCCGCTGCTTCCTGAGGGCACCGGCAACGCAGCATTTAGGCTGCAGAGGCCGCTACCAGCCAGAGGGGCCGGGTCCCTCAGCTACGTTCTTGCAGAACCTGGGGGGACCCCAGGCAAAGGGACCAGGGCCTCCCCTAGGCCAGGTTTCCCGGGATGCCGAGGCTCCCGGCTGGGCCTGCGCCGCCCTCTGCTGGCCACGGGCGGGACTGCACGTCACGCGCCCTGCGGGTGCTGCTTCTGTGTCAGGGGTGACCCTTCCCTGCGCCGGCGACCCCTCCCCAGGGATGACCTTGAGGGGCTGGACGGGGCCCGGCGCAGGGAACACCCTCTGAGCCAAGGGGGTGGTTCTGATGGGAAAATAATTGCACGTCTATCGTGACAACTGAGCTCAGAATTTAGTTTGGTTTCTAAGATGACTTGGGAGGTGACCTGGAAAACGTCCTCTAACAGGTCACCCCTGAGTCCGGGCGCCCACCTGAACGTGGGGCGTTGCACTTGGGTCTGCTGCCCTTCGCTTCCACATCAGACGCGAGCCCTGGCTTTGGAGTAAACAAATTACATTTTATGTTTTCACCCGGAGAAACAATTCAACAAAAACGGGAGGCCCGAGGGCGGGATGCCCGCCTCAGTGCCCCGAGGGAAGGGCAGCCGGGTCCTCGCCGCCTCCTACCCACCCGCTCTCCACATTCTCAGTAGATTTATGGGGGTTTCCTTTAATTTTCTCAGCTCCGTGGGCAGCAGACAGCGCTAGAAGATGGAACCACATGTTTCTATCCATTTATTGTCTTTTGAGCAAATACGCTTGAGCTGCGAGTTGGAATTATGGTTTTCCATTAGAGAGAGAAGAGAGACTCATTCAGATTTGTGAGAAATTATGGAAATTAGCGAGGTGGAATTTCGGTGTCAGAGAAAGTAACGTATTTAAATCACCCAAGAGATTATTTCTCAGCTTTTATAAATGACAAATAAGAAACATTCGGGTCATGAATGTTCTTTTAACTATAAAGCGTCCAATTGGTTATTGCCCCTAATTTTAATAAAGACTTTAAACAGAATCCGAGGCCGTTTTACCTGAAATTAATGAATAATTACATTATGACTTTCAAACGGCATTAGCATAGCCTCCCAGAGGGACCCGCCGAGTGTGTGTCATAACCTGCCTTCAAGTTTCTGCACCTGAGGGACTCAGCTCTGAGTGAGGCAAGTTATGTGGGGACACATTCGAGGGGGGCTGGACCCGGGTGGGGCCGGGGCGGGGCCCTCGGAGGGCCGTGGTCCTCAGGCTTTTTTTTTTTTAAATGTTTTTACTGATTTCAGAGAAAGGAAGGGAGAGGGAGAGAGAGAGAAACATCTATGATGAGAGTCATTGATCGGCCGCCTCCTGCACGCCCCTGACTGGGGGTCGAGCCCACAACCCGGGCACGTGCCCTGACCCAGAATCCAATCAGGGACCTGCTGGTTCACGGTCCGATGCTCAACCACTGAGCCTCGCCGGCCGGACAGGCCTTACTGTTCTGGCTTCAGTCCCCTCCGTCCCCCTCCTCCTGGCCACCTCTTGAAGGAAAACAACCTGAAGTCCGGGGGTCGGGCTGAGTGGCCGGGGAGTGCGGACGGGGTGGGAGGGCAGCCAGGAGCAGACACGGGCCAGCCCGTGACCCCTTATGAACCCGAACGAGACGTCCTAGCCCACAGGCCAGGAGCTCTGGGGCTCTGACCGCCTGCCCTGCGCAGAGCATCGGGGAGACCACGGTCAACGTGGAGGGGCCCCCTCTCCTCTGGGGCAGCGTCCACGTCAGAGCTGAGCCCCAGGGAGCTCCAGTCTCAGGATCCCTTTATACCAACACCTGCCTGCTGGCTGCGCGTTTCCTCCCCAGCCGCAGCCTCCCCTGCAGGTGCTCACAAGCCGGTTTGGCAGCTGGGCTCCCCTTTGTCGGCCGTGGAATCAGCTCCCGGGGCGGCCACGCTCCAGCCCTGCAGGCTGGGCTTCAACAGGACGTCTGTGTCCCCACCGTTCCGGGGGCCGGACGTCCGAGGCCGAGCCGTCAGCAGAGTTGGATTCTGACGGGTAAAACCACACGCACGCAAGCTGGCTGCTGCAGGAATGAGGGGGACACCCCACGCCGGGGTTTTCCTAATCCAGGAGCTTTCAGAAATAATGACAGTCTCCCACGAGGCGAAGCACTGTATGTATAGGTGACCCCCCAAAACCACACACACTTTAACAGCTGGTCGCTGTAGATTCTATTACATTTTGAAAATGAAATGTATTTTATTTTATTTTTTTAAATATATCTTTATTGATTTCAGAGAGAGGAAAGGAGAGGGAGAGAGAGAGAGAAACATCAATGATGAGAGAGTCATTGATCGGCTGCAGCCCACAACCCCGGCATGTGCCCCGACCAGGAATCGAACCCTGATCGCCTGGATCCCAGGTCGATGCTCAACCGCTGAGCCACGCCCGGCCGGGCATGAAATGTATTTTAAGAAACACTGCCTTTATAGTGTGTGTGCATTTTTTGGGATGCCCTGCATGTAACACAAAATAAAATAAAATGTAAAAATGACGTTCTCGTAAAAACCAGGCTGGCGGGGTAATTGGGGCCGTTCCTCTGCTGGAGCCTGGGCCCCACTTCCCACTGCGAAAGCCGCCGAGGGACCCGGCAGCTGTGGAAATCGCTCTATGATGTGGAGACCAGGGGCTTGGTCGCCTGAGGGCCCCCGACCACAGCTGGGGGGCGACAGGAACCCCGAGCCCAGCCGTGGGGATGGTGCAGCCCCAGCTGCCCAGCTGAGGCCATCAGGCCGGTGACCAGGTGACCGCGCGCGGGAATCACCCGGCCCCGGAGCCCACAGGCTCGCGGATGCCGCTGGCGAGCTGCAGAGGGGAGAGGGGCTGGGTTTGCTCAGCCGCCGGCTCCGCCCGCTGCACCCTCCGGTCCCTGAGCACTGGTCCCAGCCCTTTGGGAGAAATGGGTGCAGGAGGGGAGGGGGGAGGGCGCAGCAGCACCGCGACCTTGACTGTGACCTTGACCCACGGGCCCTCTGTCTCCCCCAGACCAACGGTTTCCCTCTCCTTTCCAGCCCTTCTCGGCCGGGGGACCTCGTCCGAAGTGGCCGAGGGTCCAGCGGGGGGCGGGGTGACTCCCCTCGGTCAGCGTCGCGGGAGAGGGGCGGGCCGAGGGCAGTGCCTCCCCGCAGGCTCAGCGGTGTGTGCTCTGTGCGCCCGGGCTCAGCCTCCACCCTGGACGGCTGGGAGGTGAGGTTTCTCCCGAGCTCAGCAGGAGGGACACCTGATCTGCGGCCTGCAGAGGCCAGCGATCCTTCTCGCATCACTTGCCGTCGTTGGGGTTGACCAATGAGCGCGGGCACCGGGCCGGGCCTGGGCATATAAACCCCGGCTCCGGCTTTCCCCACCCAGAGGGCGCTCCCCCGACCTGAGGCAGAGGCATGGGGCCGGCCGGGCGCCAGCTGGGAGCCCTGCTCTGGAAGGACTGGCTGTGCCGACGCAGGCACCCGGTGAGCAAGGCCGCCTG